CTCCTTGCCTGAGGAGGTTGTGGAGGCTAGAACTATAACAGAGTTTAAAAGAGGACTAGATAAATTCATGGAGGTTAAGTCCATTATTGGCTATTAGCCAGGATGGGTAAGGAATGGTGTCCCTAGCCTCTGTTTGTCAGAGGGTGGAGATGGATGGCAGGAGAGAGATCACTTGATCATTGCCTGTTAGGTTCACTCCCTCTAGGGCACCTGGCATTGGCCACTGTCAGCAGACAGGATACTGGGCTAGATGGACCTTTGGTCTGACTCAGTCTGGCCGTTCTTATGTTCTTGCCCTGATGCTGAAAACACTTCAAGGATATGCATGTACTGTTACCCGTAGTCATGAGTGCTGGCAGCCACCAGGCCACTCCCACCAATTAACAAATACACAGAATTAAGGCAGGGAAGGATAGCCCAGGATTGTGAGTTCAATCCTTGAGGGGCCATTTAGGGATTTGGGACAAAATAATCTGTCAGGGACAGTACTTGGTCCTACTGTGAAGGCAGGGGAGTGGACTCAATGACCTTTCAAGGTCCCTTCCAGTTCTACATTTCTATGATTTATTACTGGAATTTTTCCTAGTGGAAATTTCCCAGGGTACTGCCATAGGGATGCAGTACTGGAAGAAATGGTGGGTGGGGGGTATTTTGGGCACAGAGCGTGTCTGCCCTGGAGCAGCAGTGACACCTTGTGGCCAGTCGGGGTAAGGCACAGAGTGCATCCGGCCGTTCTTATGTTCTTATGATCCTGCCCTTGGACACAAGACCTGCCCAACTGCTAGTTCTAGTTTTCCAAACTCTAGAGCCACCACTTCCCTGCTGTGCCTGAGTCTCCTTACTCCACTGTAGGCACGGGCCTCCAAACCTCTCAGCTGCGCTTTTCAAGGTGACACAGCAAGCCTGATGTACAGGCTGCTCTGCAGCACTGAGGGAATGCTGGGCTGGAGACTGTGTGCATTCCTGCTGCAGCCAGGCTGCTGCCAGAGACACAGCCCCCAGTGGATGCCCCTCCTGTCCTGCCCTGCAATACCCTCTCCCACCCACACAAAAACCTTAGCTCCCACAAGAGACAGGTCTCCCCATGCAACTTCAGGGGGAAAAGTCAGATTATTTACATTTCAGACATTTTTACCACTATCTTGTTTAAATCATGACAAAAATATTTTAAGTCCGGTTATAATAGATAGCAAATCTTTCTAGCCTTCACTTAAATGTAAGTATTAAAACTTTTATTTTTTTAAATGTGGCTTCACATTGCTGAAATTCTGTTTATGACAAACTGACGAGATATTTAGTATTTTCCTGCAAATTCCCACAGTTTGTTTTTTTCCCCACCCAATCCCACCCGCAACATTTTATCCTCTCCCGCTCTTATGGGAGCGGGTCCTGCGGGATCCCAGGCCTGCTGCAGGGCTCTAGCCCACAGCCACACTGGGTCCAGGGCAACCTGCTGTATTTGCCCCTCAAATCTGGGGGGAGAGCTTCAAGTTTTCTGAGTTACTAAACATTTAAAGGACAAAAGACAGCAAATCTGAGCTGGGTTGCGACATCTCCCCAAGCCATGAGCACAGGTCTGGGTAAGCTGACCCAGCAGCATCTAGCTAACTTGATTTGAATTGTGTGTAGGATGCATCCAGTCAAAAAGAAGATCAGGGAGGCAGTACAAGGCCTGGGTCACTAAGCCCTGCAGTGCTCAGCTCAAAGCTTTGCTGGAGAACTACAGAGACGGACACTAAAGAACCTAAAGACACTTCTAGCTTCCTGTCTAATCCAAAACCAGCCAGTGGCCTGACTGAGTACTACAAGCAATTACTTGGCTGATTTCCTCCTGCTCTGCTGCCCCATGGAGCTCACTTTACTGGCTGTGAAGCAGAATTTCTGCAAAGGTGGAGGCACACGCATTTCCCACACATAGGCGTGCGCAGCACATTTCATTAGGGTGTGCACCCAGGGAATTTTTTTTTTAAAAGGGGAACATCATAAAGGGCGGGGTGTGGGAGGGGGTGCTGTGTGCAGGAAGGGGCTCAGGGCAAGGGATTGGGGCAGAGGAGGGGTGTGGGTGTGGGTGTGTGTGGGGGGGGCATTTCTTCAGGTGCCTCACAGCCTTTGCAGCTCCTGGCTCCCATCACATGATCTGGCCTGAATCCCCAACACATCTTGGCTTGTGAGGGCAGGTTGGAGTGACACTGCGACCCATTCTAGTTAGGAACAGGCTGGCTTCAGAGCACCATCCCCTGGGTTTTAATTAGGAGGGATATTTGCATGAAAACAGGCTATTTCCAGCTCTGGCTGCTTTTCCGCACCAGGAGAGGGATTAAGGCACTTTGAGGCCCCTGTCATGCAGATGGCTCTGTAGGGTTACCATTCGTCCGGATTTTCCCGGACATGTCCGGCTTTTTAGATTAAAAATGGCATCTGGGGGGGGGGAATTTGTAAATATCTTAAAATGTCTGGCATTCTCCTCCCCCCTGCAGAGCACGGCGCGGGTGATAGGGCGGCCGGCTGGATTGAGCCACTAGCATGGGGCTCTAGCAGCCAGAGCCTCTCCTCCCCTTCCCTCCTCGTCTCCCCTGCAGCTTCAAATCACTGGCCAGGCGGCCTCCGGCAGCTTCCGGCAGCTCTAGAGCTCCTCCCTCCTCCCTTGCTGCCCAGCGTGCCGCTCCCTGGGGAGAGCTGGGGCACGGTTGTTCTAACTTGCTTTTGCAGGGGGGAGAGAACCGCCCTGCAGCAGGGAAAACAGAGAGTTTAGCTCCTGTCTGGAGCCCAGGTGTCCGTTTCCTCGCGGGGTGCTGGTCGTGCCCTTGCTGGAACGGAGCGGGGGCAGGGGGAGGGTGACTGCGGGGTACTTGACCGATGGAAAGGACGCCTGGCAGCAGTAGCCATGCCCAGCCTGGTGCTGAGCGCTGGGGGATAGATTTTGGGGAAGATTTTAAAAAACAAAGCCCCAGACAGATGATGGTTAGAGGCCTTGGGGGGTCCCCCCCATTAATGTCTTCTGAAGTCTCCCCACCCCCAGGCCCTCTGAGCCAGTTGTGGCTGTGTCCAGATGCCCCCTGGAGTGTGCTGTGGAGCGGCATAGTAAGGAAGCCAGGAGCAGGGAGGCTTAGGTAGGGGGTGGGGTCCTGGGGGGCAGTTAGGGGCAGGGGTCCCAGGAGGGGGCAGTCAGGGGACAAGGAGCGGGGGGGAGGGGTTGGGGATTCTGAGGAGGGCAGTCAGGGGGCGCTAGGGCAGGGCTCCCCCCCCCCCCCGTGTCCTCCTTTTTGATTGTTGAAATATGGTAACCCTACTCA